CATTGATGGCCTTGGCATGCAATCTGCGAACTACACGTCACTTTGGTGCATTCTCATTTTTTACAAGAGCGAGGTTATTTGAAAAAATAGAGTTTCATTGTATACGTGCACTACATATGAGGAAAAATGTTCCGTTGTGTCCCGGACGAGTCTCAATGCAGTCGACCTCTGTAACGGCTCACTAACTGCATAATTGCATGAGTGTCACCCTGAAATGTCACTTAAAAACACAGGCGCGATGTTGCCGGTTAGTGTAGCTTCCATGATCAGTTAGAGAGCCTGAAAGAGATTAAGAAATATTTATCCTGAATGGTAGCATACTCATGAACCGTTTATTTTTAATGTTATATGGACAAAAAACATTCCATTAATTACAACTAGTTATGCTACAAATGGCACAGTCTTTCCCGTATTCGTTTTCTATTCCATTGGTCTCGGCTAGCTATACGGACTCGCTACATTCTCTTGCCTGCTGCCATCTGTAGCCACCAAAAGTACTTTTTTTGAATTTACTTAATTTTTAAACTTCCTAATAGTAGAACGGAAACATTATTTTAAGAATATTAAAGAACAGTAAAAACTCGTCCTAACTGGCAATTTTCTTTCAAAAATTTGGAGCCGGTTTCAACAAAAAATGTTTAAGCTTACTGTGAATGAAAAATTGGAACCTCTTTTCTCAGAAAACTATTGAGTTTTCGAAAAACTTCATATGACGTAATTTCAAGTATTTTCAGTCACAAATGCAATAGTGTTTACAAATCGCGGGAAATGTGCATATTAAAGGCGGGAGCGATCCTTCAAAAAATTACCAATATTAACCACCAAATTAAAAATTAGCAATATCGCTGGAAAAGTTTGAAGAAAACATTTGGTGTCGTTTTTGAGAAAATACCGTTTGAGTGTTTCTGACAATCCGGAATTTTGAGCTAATTTTTACGGAAAGCTCTTTGAGTTTTCGGGAGTATTTATCTGTCATTATTTAAAGCACATGTACTCACAAATACATTAATGTAAAAAGAACCGATAATGTAAGTTGTAACAAGTATTTATAAGTAAAAAAATTACATTTTTGTAATTTTTGAAAAAACAAAAGAATATACCAATATGGTGTTTATGTCCTCTTATAGAGAGCATTTAGTACTATCCCTACCAAAAGTTTAAAGGAAAATTTGTATCCATTTTCAAGAAAATCTTGTTTTTGTAATTTTTAAAATTACACAAATTGCACGCAATATTGTTCGAAAAGTACTAGAATTTTCAAAAAATGTACATGATCTTAATTAAACAACAAATTATGGACAACAATATTAATTTGAAGGAAAAAATCTCTATCTTTAATTTCGTTGCTGTAGGAGAACACCGAAAAAAGTTCAAACTTTTGAAATTTTCGAAAATTCAGAGTTAACCATAAAAATCGAACCTATACCAATATTTTAAAAGCTAAACCCTTCCAGAAATTTTACAAATGATGCTTTTGTAAGGTGATATTTTACTATCTTAATACCAACTTGTTTTTTTAAATAAAGGAGAATAAATAATTATATTCTCACATTCATCAGCAAGGTATTATGACCACCCAAAAAATGGCAACCTGAGTTAAAAATATGTTTAACATATTTTCTTTTAGAAATGTAAAAATATGTAATTCACGAAATGATTCGTTCTTTTTCTTTTTTTTCTTCTTTTTTTTTATTGCTTAATACTCATCTGGTAGCTGATATTAGCACGCATTGATCCCCAACTGATATCATGGATCGCATTGATCGCAACGTCATTCTCAGTTCTTTTAATTCTGCTTTTCGGAGAAGTCAAAACAATGTATCTGTAATATGCCACTTGCGTCTGTCTGGGTTTAAAAACGTGTATACGATATAAATACATATTATAAAGTATTATATTCATATTGTTGAGAAGTTCCTGGACAGGTTGAGTGGCAGTTTTTCTAATCACAATTTGAACTACTCGAGATAACAATATTGGTCTTGTCCATATCACTTACTTTCCAGGAACGAAAATGTTCAAACGTGAAACGTTTAAGCTGTCTTTTGATGATTTTCTTTTTGGGCACAATTTTTTTCGGTAATGGATTTCATTTGAAACGTCTATACTTTGTTGCAAGTGAAACAAAATCACCTGTGAATGATCTTCTATAAACAATAATATGCTTTAATTGGAATATCAAGCCGATCTATAAATGAACTCTAAGCGAAATGAACTAAAAAGAAGTAGCTGTTCTGTCTATGATTGCATCTAAAACTGTGCTAAGTTGAACAATTTAATTACAAGTTAAATTCAAAATTAGAATTAAACGTGATAAAACAACGAATTCCATGACACCACTGAGCAAGGCTTCAGGTATTAAACATATATATGAATTGCATACACTAGAAACATGCTGAAGTAAAAATGCTTCTGAACACCATATAAAAAGTATCATACTCACTGCTCAAAAACAAGAAATAAAATACTCTCGTAAAATATTACAAAAAATATTTTAACAAAAACAGTATTCACAAATACAGCAATTACAGAATATAGTATATACACCGTACAACTTTTTTACTTACCAAGAATATTCAAAAAGTTGGTCTATGTTACAAAAAGGGAATTGCAAATAATATTTATTGAAGACGACCCTTTCCTTGGAGCCTTGCTGTCTGCTGTGTCATAAGCAGTGACGCACTAAGTATGAGAATTCATTTGATATGTGCAAAATATGAATACGCGGATTAACGCATACGAATACTTGCAATTGTCAATCACAATGGAAACTGTTTCATTATTTTTGCCCCCCCCCCAAAGCTCCTAGGTATCTAACGAAACCATAGACACATTTCAAAATGTCGGAGGCTGCATAGTTGTCTTTCAATTTCTGCGCGAATTGGAAATAAGTATTATAAATAGGCATTGTTAAGTTGCATCAACATTTCTATTACATAAGATGCCACTGAAGACATGAAATTCTATGTATCAACTTCAAACGCTTAAACTTTACGAAAAGTATTTGAAATTCTCATTTTGATGTTGTACGTTGATTCAACTATTCTAACAAGTCAAATATCTATTCATACCAACAAATGAAATATTCTACTTCGATGTCTCTCTTTTTCTATTTTAATTGAACTCAATATTTTCATACTTCATTGATTAAGACATACTGATTCGCTTTCCTCCAAATATTGTTTCAAACCGTATACTCCATATCGTGAGTATTCCTTTGAACCATTAACGTTGGGACTTTGCAGAAAAAAGCATAATTCACTCACATATACATCAAGATTCTATGCTGAATCAAAAGTAAAATGTTTCCCTGTTTGCAATTTGTTCAAATTGAAGCATTCCGATGTAACAGATGACGTTTGACTTCTTTGGGAAAATTAGTATTACTGACTTCTTACACCTTTCTTACGAATGAGATGAAAATACTCTTTGTATCGTATTAGCTTTTGAGGTCAGAAAAATGACAATGAAAATACATTCATACTCCATGTGGAATCCATTTATTGTAGTTAATGCGATTATTACAATTTTGTATGAAACGTGAAAAGTAAGTTATTACTATGGTCGCCCTAATTGTATATGTAAATATAAAGATATTTAAGTTGTTACGTGAAAGATCATGCCTGAGTCTCGCTGGAATCAAATTGTAATTATTATTTTTCAAATTCACGACTAAAAACGTTATGGGTCGCTTGATTATTAATTCTTCTCCAGATTGCAACCAGCTTCCTAAGGAGCAGATCTAGGGACAATCGGTGCCTCTTCAACACTTTACCCAAAATGTGGGCTGTTGCAAACAAATCAGTATCTTGCACTTCCCAGTCTTTAGAATGTACTGGGAGTTTAGTCACGTTTTTACAAACATTTTGCGGAACAAACTCCGGAGCTCCAATAATTAGCGGGACGACCTGTGCTTTCATTTGCCCCACATTCGGCCACCCCACATTCAATTTTTAAACTCTTGTATTTAAGACGTTTCTCTGCCTCCTCGGTTACGGATTATTATTATTATTATTATTATTATTATTATTATTATTATTATTATT